TAATTTTCCTACAGGCTTCTTAAGACGGATATAATCACATTAGCATGCAAAATCTGGTTCAAACAGTTCACTGTGTGTAAGTGTGTGCATGCAGTCAGGAGTCTATAAGCACACAGGAAGGCTGAAGCTGCAATGAGATTTCTATGTATATACAGGGAGGTTTCAAAGTTTAAGAGACCCCACTGAAAATGCAAAATGGAAATACTTTTTTTTTTAAATGAGTCGGAAATATGTAAGAATCTGCATTAACTGGTTGTTAATTAAAAAAGATCATTTTTGGCATTGAGTGCTGCAACCGGTGTTACAGTAAAAATACGTGGAAATTCGAAGTGTCACACATTATGCTGATAATATAATTTATAATGATATATAAGCATTTGCAGAGGCCTCTTCTTTTCTATAGACCTCTCCATGGACATGTCTATGACCAAACAACTAATTTTCTGATTCAACTGAAAGTGAAAGAAGCGGAAACTAACCGTGAGCATTGGGCACATAAACCTATAAACTTTAGGAGAGAGAGAGAGCGAGCTTCAATCTAGATCCGATTTTTGTGTTACATAACTGTGTTTTAATTCTTTCTAAAGCAAAAGACACATTTTCTGCTCCCTCCCCAATATCCTAATCAGAATGCAACATCACTGTTATGTAGAGGAACGGTCCCATTGGTGTCAGGTCCCCTTCTGCACCATATCAAAAGCCCCAGGTGTCACTATCCAAAGCACACATTACTGAATGAATGAACGCCTAGTGAAGGGGCGAGACCAGTCGGAGAGAACTAATAAAACCGAAACGCAGCAAAGCAGAGAAAACATGCTGAAGTACTGCAGGGAGGGCAAAAATGAAAACATTAAATGGACGTTTTAAACCTTACAATTCAGTCTGCTTCTCTCTCATGCAAACTCAACAATCTCAAACAAGGGCTCTGCCAACATATGACACACTCTGGTCGATACCAAGATGTGTTCACAAAAACACTACAGGGGACGAAAGCAGACATGGTCACACTCGGAAATAGATGTCAAGACACTATCTGGTTGATGTTATGTAGTCACCTAAAGTAAAGTTCACCTCTGATCTCAGTATGGAGAATACAATTACGTTGCATCCAGGTCTTGTTTTATTTAAAGTGTAAACGCATATAAAAATGAGAGTAAAACAGATCGAAAAAAAAGAACACATACTGAATGGATTAGTTTTGTGCTGGCTGTGCAACTCTCTTTTGGGGATTACATATCTTGGTTTTCTTTGTGTAATCTTTCTCAGGTTACGTAAGAGCAAGCCATTAGTCAACCAAGCTACTGTAAACAATTGACCAGATTATATGAGTGCCTACAGTATATAAACCTGGGCTTTAAACTGAAACATCAGGCAGACCCTCTCTTGCAGTTTCACAGTCACATATATTTTAAGATTTGATTTATATTTTTAAATTTGACTGAACACATTGGATGTAGCGGTAACAGCTGGTTATTGATAGTTTTACTTAGTTAATGTTGGCCTACTGCCTGGTTAGAGATTTGGTAACAGTTTGGAATGCGTAATCCATGTCTGTGATGCTGTTGTGTATGTTGTCAGTCAAATAAACAATGCTGTGCTTATTGATCTGCCTCCAAATATATGAAATATGACATGGAAAAAACACATTTAAAAGGAACAAAAAAACAACACATTGGTAAGCTGTATATATATATATATATACACATACACCGGTCATGGGAAAAAAGATCTGTCTATTAGATCCTGCACTTTACATAGCTATAATATCTATACACACAATGTATGTTATTTACAGTAGGAATAAAGCTTATGGTTGAGTGGGCCATGCATATTGATCCTACTCTTTCGCAAGCTGAGCCACGCAACGTCAAGCAGGTCGATGGAGAGATGGCCTCTCACTCTGGAAGCCAATGTGATGCTAAAAGCTATTGGCATTAGCAGTTCATGCGTAACTGTCTCTCTTTTGTGTCTGCGGCTCATAGTTTCAGGGGTGCAGCAAGCACTGAAATGAGCATGGACAAAGCAACAAGGCAACGCAGCTCAGAGGCATTTGTGAAAATCATGGATATGAAGTAAACAGTGGCTAAATATGTCTGGGTCAAAACATGGGTCAAAAAATGTAAACTTGTGTGTGTGTGTGTGTGCAAGCATAGTTTTAATGTGATCTGCGTGTGACAGAGTTGTGGGAAAACTAACACCAGCCCTGAAGCAGCTCTGCACAATGTAATGGAGAAGAGGAGGTTTGGAGCGGATGTAGAGCTAGAGTTACTAGATTGGGTACCACAGTCCATCAGATATTGGAAGACACTGCAAGTTCATCTCTGATCAATGAAGGAAACTGATAAATGTTTTGACCAAAAGGGCACATCTCTGTGTACACAAATGACACCTCCACAAACACAAAAACAACAAACAAGTGCACTAATGATGTTTTACCATAAAGACAGTTTTAGTACGTCATTATTTTCTATCTCTTATAAAAACAATTTTGTACAATTACTGTAATATTGACAAAAATCATCTGTAAATATAAAACTAAATAGATGTTTTAAGGTTTATTTAATATAAATAAAATCATAGCTGTTCCCAAACACTTAAAACTTTTACCCAAAAAAGGAAAATTCCATCATAGCATATACCACATGACTTTATTTATTCAATGAAAAAAATGACAGTCTCAGTCCCCATTACTTTGATTATATGAAGAAATTAAGCAACAAAAAAGAGAGGAAAGAATGGTGATTAAAACTTTTAAATGGTGATTAAAAGATATTTTGTGTAGCACCAAAAGAAAGAAAGAAAAAGAAAGAAAGTTATTTAGGTTTTGAACAACATTTTTTTATTTACTCTCTCTCTCTCTCTTTTTTTTTTTTTGATGAACTGGCCCTTTAAACAAAAAGGCTTGCTGCCTAACAGTTGTGACGTCCATAATCAACAGACAGATACGTTTATTATAAGCAAACATACGGATTCAATGTGTGGTAATCAACACCCATCATTAACTAGAAATAATTAATAACTGTGTAACTTTTTTTTTTTACATATGTAGTGACAGTTTTATTTTTCTCATTATATCGACTAAAATGTTTCTCTGTCGGGCGATTGAACCACACAAAATGTAAGGCAGAAAAACAAACGGTTTAAAAAAAATTGATTAATCCCATCACTCCATTAGCTACTAATTAAAACAAAAAGCAATTAAGCTATTTCCGTCCTCCTGACAATGAAATTGAAAGACAAGTAGACCGTAATAGTCTAAAACCCATAGCTGGTTCGTAGTTTATTTCTGAACACAATGGAAAAAAACAATAATTGTATATTTTTTAAAGTTAAAGTTTGTAAAGAAGATTTCGTGTGTAAGAAGATTACCTCACATAGAAGTAGTTGTTTAATTGTTATTTTTAAATCGTGAAGCCCGCGCAATGACTGATGTCAATGTCGGAGAGTCAGGCTCCGTGAGAGGCCCCAGATACTGATGTGATTCTTTCTGACACGGTCCTTTGGGGCTCAGAAAGAGAGAAGAGAGGTGCTCTGGGGGCGTGTAGGCTATAGGTTGTGAACTTGTGACACAGTCACACAGAGATGGGGGGGGGGGGAAAGTTTTGGTGTTTCCCAGGGCACGCGCACTCAACTTCTTCCCTCTTTGCAAACGAAAAACACGCAGCATAACTTACAGATTTCAGCTGCTACTAAGTAGCTAAAGATGCGGCCTATTGGAGAGAATCCAGGATATGTTGATTCGTGTAGGCTAATGTCAGTACGTCGTGTGCTGTAGGCCTATTTGTTTTTGTTTTACTATACGAAACCAAAATCGAATAAAGAAAATAACAGCAGAAGAACTAAATGTGTTTGAATCAATCAGTTGCCTATGAGCAACATCTTTTAATCTGTATTTTAATTAGGTTCCAAGTTCAACATTTGCATTTCTTTTTGTAATCATCTGAATAGGCCTATATTTTTCAGTTCAACCTGCTACGAACTGTAAATATTCTATATTTTTAAATGTGTAGAAAAGGTTTACAACTATTTCAAAATATAATTCATAATCTAAAAAAGGAATTTAAACGCCTACACAAATGTCAGAGCATAGGTAGCACTTTAAAGCATCCTACGACAAATAATGTTCTGACTTTGAATTAAAATTACAAGACACGTCCATATGTTCTTTTTGTACTTTAGTATTGAAGCATATCTGCCGGTTTTCTTTACAAAAGGTCAATAAACACTTTTGCGTTCATCTATTCAGGTGTAACTGCAACACGTCCGACAAGAGCGCGTGGGCTGGGCAAAGCGCGCGCTGCTCCACGCGTGTTTGAACTGCTCGCGCGGACATTGCTACTGCACTTCGACGCTTTCAGCGCGCAGCGGCGCCTGACTGACGGAAATGGGTCAGTAGATCGCACGACACTACCTCCACTTTACCCACACAGTGATGGTCTGACCGTCTGCCTCAACTCTTATAAAAAAATACCACGAATAAGTTTTGATAGGCAACAACTATTTCCCAAATGTGATAACCTGAAACAGTCTAAAAAAGCAGCAATTTCTCATATAAATTAAACACAAAGCCCAAGAATCAGAGTAAGATACACAATTGTAGGCTACATTTTCAGAGCGAAGTCTTTACAGGATCATAAATAGCCTAAATGTCCACTCTTTAGGAAAGTTGGCGTGAAGTTGTCTCAGATGAACTGTCTGAGGAAGTCGCGTGCACTCCATAAACACGAGAGTGGGAGTGATGTGCGGTTCATTTCTCTTCGGATGTCTTACGAGCGCCTGAATGACCAAAAACACGTTTTTGTTTTGTTTTTTAAATTCATGAGCACATTAATCTGGCAGAGTTCTGTATCATATATCGCATCTGAATCACTTCACTTCAGTATGACTTAATGAAACAGACAAAACCTGGATGGATGGACTATGGTCTCTGGGATGAGACTAAAAAGACACCCTTATACTTCATTATTCAAATGAGCTGTCATAAACAGTTGTATTCCTACCTCGCATAGTGGTGGCGACTCGATCCCGAACGTTTCAGTCATGAAGAAACAAACATAAACCAGAGTAAAAAAACAAAATCCTCGATGGTGAAGTTTGGTCTCGTCAAAGTGGGAGACTACTGTGCAAAACCATTCCAGAAGTGAGTGAAGCGGTGGTCGGACTCTTCAGTTGTGCGGTAAGGCCAGCATGCGGGTTTTCACATGACATCTGCGGGCGCATATACCCAACGGAGGTTTTCACTGCCTCCGTGAGCGCAGGGGAGAGCGCACAGCAGGCTGAAGGCAGCTCGGATTGGGCTGACACTTTTCGCTCCGCCCACTTTCTAGCGTCTTCAGAGGCATGGAGCAGATATGGACACTGTGCGGTCTGCGCGTACGCGAGCACGGCGCGGGGCTTTGAGTTCATGCACAGACTTCTTTTTACAGCAGCGCTTTGAAGTCAACAGAAAAAAATGTAAAAAACTTATTCCGCATGTCATGTTATTATCCTTTTTTATTTTACCTTTTCACGGATTGCATTTACTGTTACTTGCAGGCCTAGTCTGAATGTGTGTAGTGCACGGATTGGGCATAACGGAGTAAAATAATGCCCATGCATTTTTAGTATCTTTATGTATTTACGTTTCAGACAAACTTTATGGCAGTTGTACGTAGTTATTGTGAAATCTAAATGTGATCATTTAGAAATGTTGCCTGCTAGAGAGGGCAAACCACCTTAAAATACATAATATCCCCCTCCTACGCACAAAAAGGGCTACTTTGCATATCCTGTCATTTAAAAAAAAGAAGACTAAAATGAAGGGACTAATGTCTTTTCAAAATCTGGTGTCTTAATGATGGACATTTGGCCCTCAAATTTAGTGTTTAATTGAAACAAACGCCATGCAACCAGATTATATAGCTATATACATATTATTATAATTGCATAATATGGCTTTATATTTCTATCAGTCAGGCTGATGTACAAATAACTAAATGTTAAATGACTTTTTCACTGAGGTTAATCTACAAGCCATCAGTTTAAACAGCACATAGGAGAGTGTGAAATTGCCCACTGCATGCCTGTGTGTTTATGGGGGAGGTGGAGACAGAGACTGAGCTATACAGACCCATCCAGGGAAAGGCAGAGACTAACTGCCCAGAGCACATCACCACTGACCTACATTTCCTTCCCCCCTTTTTTATTTTCCATTTCCCCTATATGAACAAACTCATAATTGTGATGTAATGACAAAAAGCAAGCATGACAATAAAACTAGACCAGTCCATTGGAGATTGTAAAGCACTGTCCTGGAGTGACAGCACTGTTGTTGAACAAAAAGCAGTTCCTGGCTATTCAGGAAAGGGCTGAATGTTGCAACAAGAAATACATGTAACCTGTACTGTGGAATTGAGTGCGAGTCTTTTGTGAAATCATCATTTTATCATAAACAGAATTAAAAATCATTTGACACTCACCTTGAACTGTATTATATTTTTACAGAGCTGCATATTTACAGGAATAAAAGAATGATCCAAAGACGGATGCAGTCATATGGTGTCTAAAAACCAATCAAAGTAAAGGTAAACATTTTCGGCACCACAAAGGCTTGAGAAAGAGTAGCACTACGTATTCATGCTTGTTGTGAAAAGCTTGTGTATTCTCTTCTTTTTATTCCATTAAATTTGTCTACTTTTATAGACATACTGCTGTCAAACGGAATAGCTCAAGAACGTCTAAATTGTGATGTTATTTCACATAAGTGCGTAGTTCTCCTCTAACTGGACTGTTGGTCAGGCCACTTCACTGTTAGTCATTATTTTTGAGAGAAGACAGAGGTCTAAAGATAGAAGCATTAAATGAGTTGATAGATATCCCTGGTTTTAAGGTTAAAGCATATTTGTGCAACTCCTTTGTCCTTGAATCGACCATCAGGAAGTTAACTTAAATATAATTGGATAACTTTCCATTGAAAATAAAAATTAGGGCACTATTTCTCAAAGGGATTCCCCTTAACTCTCAAATGACACATGCCTTTATATTGTACTCTGGGAACAAGCAGGTGTTTTTAAAAAAGAGAATGTTTTACTGGAAAATTGATTTAGTATTACATATAGGCCTGCAGAATTTTGATGCTTAAAAATATATACTGTACGTAAGGTGAATTTGTGTTTGAATCTCTTATCACTGATCAACATAGGTATGTACTGTAGATCAGAGTTCATTCAATAATGGTCTCCCCTTGCAAATCTACATGCGAAATGTCAACATGCTAAATCTCAGACAAAATCCTTGCTGTGGTAATGAGTCAAGAGAGAGAAGAGGGAGAGAGAGAGTGGCATTGGCTTTCAGAGAGAGAGAGAGAGAGAGAGAGCGAGTGAGAGAGAGACAGAGGGGAAAAATACACTTGAGAAATTTACAGAAAGATACCACAAGTGACAGAGGCAATTTTCTGGGAAAAAATTACTTCATCATAATTTCAATCCCAAAAAGAATTGGAAAGAAAGCCCTGAAGGAGCCGAGTCGTGTCACCTTGAAAAATGGCAGTGGAAAAGATCACTAACTTCTCTACACACACACACACACATTCTTTGATGCACATATACACACATATAAACACAATAAAACTAATAATTCAATCTATACTGTTTATTTTCCACAATTTTGTTCTTTGTACTACACTGTTTTATAAATGCTGCAATTTCCTCATAGTCAACAGAGTGAATACTGTACCTTTTTTCCATACATAATTACACTATAAACCTTGACAGCTTACTTATCAAAAATATGAGTCAAATTTAATATAATTAGACAGTCTAAGTTTTGCACACTAATAAATGATCAGATCTAATACATGGAATCATTTCAGCTGGTTGTCAAAATGACCCAAATAAAGCCAAAGGGACTATATTATAAATTTATTGCGAGACTAATAAAGTTGGAGCCCATCTCATCTGTATCAGCAAGTAATAAGCAGATTTCTCATCAAAGCTCTTAATAAGACCAATCGTGCAAAATATAACTGCCTTCCCATCAACATAGTACAGAAGACTGCCAATCAGTTGATTTTAATTGGATTTTTTTTTCTTAATCCATGATTTTCTTCTAACAAAGCTATTAAGATATTGAATGTTACATTGGTTTTTTGTATGACACATTAGAATATCATCATATGGCCTGAGGCAAACTCTCAAAATAATTTATCCTGCTGATTTAGTTTTCAGAGCCTGATAAATGTTGATGTCGGTTATAGAGACTTTTGTACAAAACACTGCTTTTGAAAACACTGATCTCAAATCACCACAGACTAACACAAGTCCAGCTACTACATTCTTACAGTGATAAATGTCTGAACAGCTTCTGGTATTGAGACAGTCAGAAACTGGCTAAGACAATGATGCAGGAATGAGGAAAAGGTTCTTTAAGATTTTGCTCTGAAATATAGGCTACTCACCTGATTATACGTCTCTCCGGAATACTTGATTCTAATTGGTCAATTGTGCGTATAGAGATCCGCTGCATGGCCACTCAGTGTATCAGACCACTTTTTCAGATAGTGGCGCAACTTTCAAGACTCTAGTATCACACTCTGGACTCTCGTCTCGTTTCATACAAATGCAACTATTGTGTCTCAGTTAACTATTGTATTGTGGAGGAGTAATATTGTAGTGATGTTCATCTTGTTTCTTGGCCGATTGTTTTTCTGCAGATCGTTTCGTATCTTAATTGTTTTCATAGTAGAAGCTTTAAGATAATAGACTATATGGCTATGTCCATGCTTTTATTCATTTGGTGAATAGATGTGAAATATTTGGCATAATGTATAGTCAGCCACAGTCATTATCGCAAAATAAACCTCGACAAGGTGATAAGGACTCCGACACGGAGCACAATTTAGTTGTAGGTCTAAAATCCCATTCCAATTCAAATCCTCATTTGTTGCAGTTAGAGTCACCCGAAGCGACCGGATTCTGTGTCAAAGCGTGACCTCCGTGTCCTACATAAGCCAAGTTCAAACAAATCGACACTTCTCAGAACTTCTTAGTCTGCCACAGATATGCACTCTTAACGTAACATTCCTTATTCACCCACGGACATAACTCGCCGTTAATAATTCACACCTACATACTTGATTTGCGCAATCATTTTTAAGGGACCATTATCGCAAATTGGCCTTCTGAATTTATGAATCTGAAGGGACAGATCTAATGGGGAAGACCTTCACCTCTCTACACCCTAAAGAGGAAGTGTCTGATGAGGAGAAGCTAATGGCTGCAGTACAGTCACCTCAGGGGCTGAAGACTGAAGTCAGAGGGGTTGAGGTAATGGAACATACGCCTGCAGTAGCTGAATTATTCACTTGATCCACTGATGCAATATACACGAACACGCAACACACACACACACACACACAACTGGCTGTCTGGAGTGAGACTAAGTTTCTCTCTCTTCTCTGATGAGCAACTTGCTGTCGTGTGCACATTTTCAAAGAGTCTCCCTGCGTTTTAACATCCCATTCTTCACTTAGATGTCTGCCATTTATCTCCCATTTGTTAGTTCTACAGATTGTCACCGTTCAACTCAACACGTTCCTGGCTACGTTTGGCCGGTGACCAATCCAAATCTCCTGGCATGATTTTAAACAAAACGCAACACCGTTACAGATTCCAGCACTCCTTCCCTCCCTCCCTCCCTCCCGCCTTCCTTCAGTCGCTCATGAAAAACAGATTAAGTTAATGAATTGATGGGCATCTTGCCTGTGCAAGCTGAGAGTTAGGCTATGCGGACAAATAAAGTAGCATTACAATACAAGAGCACAGACAGAGACAAAAGAGAGGCTGCATAGCTTCCCTATTGTTCGGCTGGGAGAGTATAGAAAGGCTTACAGACAGCTTGCCTCACGAGCCAAACGTGAAACAAAGGGGAACTTGTTGCCAGTGTTGAGGAGAAATTACAGTAGTGTCAGGATGCTTGTAGGGCTGTGGGGGGGGTGGACCAGACTCATAAACGCACAAACAGAGACATATTTACTGTAGCAAACATCCGAGTGCTGCTGACAGCTTGGACCGTTGGGGGATTATGGGGCTTCTCGAGGGAGTCTGAGTCTCGGAGAGCCAAAGGAAGAGGATGAGGGTGGCTTGTTTTTATCATTCTTGATATAGATACCATAAAAGTGAGGAATATGTTAGTGATGCAACCGTAGGAACAACTCTCACACTCTCTTAAAACTGTGACTGAAGAAACAATCCCTTTTATCATGTCACAATTTGTCATCTCCATACATCCCTCATGACATTTGCTCTCTCACCATTGGCATCATCCCTGAACCCTATCA